AAACTAAATTCTAGTGAAAATGAATAAAAAGAGTATGAAATAATTTTATTAAAAATATTTTAATAAATTCATAAAATAAACTACAGCTTTTATATATAATTCACTCTCTAAAATATTTTTTATTATAACAATTAATATATTTAGTTTTTCTTATTTACCAACTACTGAAGTTTACAACCTTTATTTCAAGATTGCAAAGCATATTATCATGTGAAATAGAATGATCCAATCTCTAAAAATTTGATCTGAGTGCTGTAATTTGCCTTCAAATTCAATTAGTATCAGCAAAACGAGGCACAAGAGCAGCAAGAAAACAGCAGTACTAATTTGATTGCACAAAGAAAAGTCTCTTTATTGATAATTTAGCTCGACCAAGAAGAATTTCGAGACATTAGCCGGGTTAGTACACAACACTCAACTTGGTTAATTCAACTTTCATTTGGGTAAAATAATAATTGAACTAAAATTACTCCCACTACCAGATCAGCAGTCGTGTGGGTGTTGGTACATGAGCTCAACTAAATCATATGTATTAACTATACTGTCTCTTGCTGGGGGATCACTCGGCATGTTTGCTTTTACCAACAAACATGCTAACGGATCACCTCAAGTGACACAACAATAGTAAAGGATTGTCACATCAGTGCTATGGATATAGATACATCAGCAACAATCATAGGTGCACTAAGGGTTCCCTCCGCCGACATCCACTAAATTCTTAGATAAAATTTTGCAAAATACATGTCATAATCGAAAAAAAAAAAAACTCTCCATTTTACTTGTTAAAATTTTTTTTGATAAAAATTAATCTGAAATTGAGTTGTATGAATCCTTTTATAATTTTTTTTTAATATTTATTTTTTCATTTATAAAATTTGAATTGAAAATTTTATTTTAAAAAAATCAAAATTTTTTTATTCAAATCAACATATCATTAGTATTTTACTATTTAACTTATACTAATAAAAAGTTATTTTACAATTAAATGGTACAATATTTATTTATTAAAAAATTAAAAGTTATGTAGCCTTCATTAGAAATTAAAAAAGTTTATATACTTAGATAAAAAAATTGACAAAATTGGTGTCTCATTTTATCTGCGCAGCTTTACACACCAAGCATGTGCTCAATGATTTCCCCTTTTTAATCTTCCTTGTCCGGGTCTCCGATGAGTCCACTTCGCTTATCTTCCTCAGCTGCAACCTTTTCTTATGCCCACCGGAAAAACTCTTCCTTTCCACTTTCTGAGTCTGAGTCCTTAATTCAAAGAATCTGTTAGCTAGCTTGCCTGAAGTAGTCATGGGTTCGGATTTACTATCCCAGACAAAGCCATCGACGGGACCAACCCAAGGAAAAGACCCTGCGAACCAATCCACTACAGCTCTTCTCTCTTCCAACACAAACTCCTCTTTAGATGACCCATCAACGAAAGACTACCCCAGTCGTCGACCCACCACGACGGTCCTTTTCGTCGTCGCTTTCTTGCTCCTGACTTGCATTGCTCTCTCTGCTACCTTCGCCTTTGCCTTTCTTTTCTTCTCCACATCTTCCTCTTCCTCTGATTCTTCTTCTTCTTCATCCGTTACCCACTCCTCGGCTCGCCCTCTCAAGAAATTGGAACATCCCGTCGTTCTCTTGATCTCCTCTGATGGGTTTCGATTCGGCTACCAATTTAAGACCCCGACGCCTAATATCCACCGGTTGATTGCTAACGGGACTGAGGCCGAGACTGGTTTGATTCCGGTTTTCCCTACTCTTACTTTCCCTAATCACTACTCCATTGTTACTGGGCTTTATCCGGCTTATCATGGTATTATCAATAACTATTTTGTGGATCCTTACACTGGTGAAACTTTCACCATGGCCAGCCACGAGCCTAAGTGGTGGTTGGGTGAGCCACTATGGGAGACCGTGGCAAATCATGGGTTGAAGGCTTCTACATATTTTTGGCCTGGCAGTGAGGTAAAGAAAGGTGCTTGGACTTGCCCTGAAAACTTTTGTATGTTTTATAATGGTTCTGTTCCTTTTGAGGAGAGAGTTGATACCGTTTTAAGCTACTTTGATCTGCCTGGTAGTGAAGTTCCTGTGTTTATGACTCTGTATTTTGAGGATCCTGATCATCAGGGCCACCAGGTTGGTCCAGATGATCCTGAATTAACTGAGGCAGTAGCTAGAATTGATAGGGTTTTAGGGAGGTTGATTGATGGTCTAGAGAAGAGAGGGGTTTTTGAGGATGTTAGTATAATTATGGTTGGTGGTCATGGCATGGTTGGTACATGTGATAAAAAGTTGATTTTTCTAGATGATTTGGCTTCTTGGATTGAAATTCCAGCTGATTGGGTTCAGTACTATAGTCCATTGCTAGCCATCCGACCACCTTCTGGTTATGCTCCATCCGATGTTGTTGCGAAGATGAGAGAAGGATTGGAGTCTGGGAAAGTTGAGAATGGGAAGAATTTGAAGGTTTTTCTCAAGGAGGAGCTGCCTAGTCGGCTGCACTATGCAGCAAGTGACAGGATCCCACCAATAATAGGCCTGATTGAAGAGGGGTTTACGGTGGAGCAGAAGAGGTCGAATCAAAAAGAGTGTGGAGGAGCACATGGATATGACAATGCAATTTTCTCTATGAGGACCATTTTTATTGGGCATGGTCCTCAGTTTGCCAGGGGACAGAAGGTACCATCCTTTGAGAATGTTCAAATATACAACTTGGTGACTTCGATCCTCAAGATACAAGGTGCTCCAAATAATGGGTCAGCATCATTTCCTACATCTATTCTTTTGCCTAGCAAGTGATAGTTACCTCCTAAGAGTGTTCCGAGATGGTCTTAGCTGCTGAGCAATGGGCACTGTAAGATTGCACAGGGTGGGAGGTATTGAAGCCATATGATTTTCTTGTTTGCCAGCACATGGTTCTGAATGTAATGAAGGCAGTGCAGAAGGTAATGATATCCGAGATATTAGAATCCCTTGAGATCATTGAGTCATGCATGGTTTTAATATGTATTCCTTATGGGTGGTGCATATATGATCAGCTTTATGTTTTATATATTGATCTGATGTTGTACAATCCTTCTATTGTCTTTTAGTGGGTAGAACAAAATTACCATATGGAGAAGTGAATAGTATTCTGATTTCTGAGATCATCCTTTCCATTTCCTACTCTCTCCAAACTTAGATCAGCACTAAAATTGCTCTTTCAATTTGGTATTGGATGGTTGCGTCTGTCTTCAATTCTTGATATCATTGTTATTAGTTGCAAATTGGCCTTTCTGGAATTCATAGTCTATTATCAAATTTCTAGTTTATACTTTTGAAGTGGAAGTAATCTTTTTATTTAAGGAAATGAGATCAGTGCCTCAAGTTTTTTCATATGCGTAGGAGAGTTCGCTGTCTTGCAGGGGCTGAAATCATGCTTAATTTATTCGCATCTGCTTAATCTGTAATGAATGTGTTTGAGTTGTACAAACAGCATGTTATTATCATTTGTATTTTATTTATTTGCAGAAGCACAAACATAGTTGTCATTCATTTGCCCTGAAGCAAACCTGTAAGGCTCTTATCAAGTCAAGGGTGAACCCCTATATGATATAAAGGTTATGCCTTTGCCCATCATTTTGTTATGTATCCCATGAGTTCATAAACTAACAACTAATTAACAAGGAAGAACCTGAGCGTGTCCTTATGCAATAGATTGTGTCTTTTTGGGGGGCCAATATGTGATTTTGTTAGTCATTTCTGTTTAAAGGTGTTAGATATACAACTGCCAAAATAAGAACAATCAGGTGGAGCTGAAAACCTGAAAGTTGTTAGAATTCCATGGTAATGTATGTTGAACCACCACTTTAAAGCTTAGTTTTAAAGCAGTGCTGAGGATTAAGCTTGGTTTTGTAATGGTGGCAGTTTCTTCTTGAAATGGAAGATTAGTTCATTGAAACATAAGTATGTCTCATCTCATCTCATATAATTTAAAAAAATACTTATACTTAATTCTTATTTCGTAGTTTCACTTGATCAAAGAATTTTTCAAGTGAGAACTAATTTTGAATGGATGGAGTATAATCTAACCAAAGAATTGCCCATCCCATTTAACCAAACATGATGCGTACGTGTGTTTTTATTTTTATTTTTTATTAATATGTAACATGACCCCAGACTAAGGATGACAATTTTTTCTAAAACCTACTAAGTTTTGCGAATATGCTATTGCGAAGATGGAGATTTTAAAAATATTCCTCTTTACAAAAGTAGGGATGGAGGGTTTTTTTTTTTTACAAAATCTCGTGATAAATTTCATCTGTCCCATGGAGATTCGACAGAATTCATATATAATAATAATAAAAAAAGAATACAAATTTATTTGTATATATTTTTGTAAACATATTATCAATTAATTTATATTCACCCCAACCTAATTGATTAACCTAACCTAATCTAAATTGTCCTGCCCAATCCCTTTTCTAGTTCTAGTCTTCCCAAACCTAATTTAGACATGTATGGCAATTCATGCATTTTTTTTTTTTTTATGAGCTTGCTACTGGACTTGTTGAACGTGTATGGTAGTGTGTATTTATTGTAACTGGTTATTAGATATTGCTTTGCTGCACTATATCTTAATGTATTTACTTGTTTAAGTTATTTTCAATTTTTACCTTTTTCATTTATCAAGAAAAAAAAAAAGTTAAATTCTATATATTTAATACATAGCAAAGACTTTGAATACCCATGGGGACTTATCATTCCCCATGGGTATGGGGACAAGGCCATTTTTGGCCCTCCGCTAAAAATCTTTGTGAGAATCTTTATATTTGTCATTGGCAAAGATGGGGATGAGGAGGGAGTCTCTGTCCCGTGGAGACTCGTTGCCATCCCTATTTTAAAGTTTAATTAGAATAAAGGAAATAAAAGGTAGGAAAAAACATTCTCTTCAATCAAATTAAAAGATAAGGTTGTCTTAATTTCATTGAACGAAATATTCTTCCCTTAGCTCCCCCATCTGTTGTATTTTTATTTTTCCTCAAATCAAATAAACTATTAACTTAATAATTAAGGTAAACAATTAAGAAATTACGATCATAGGTTAAAAATAATTTTAATTGTTCAACTACGGGCTCAAAGCTTTTATGTCAAAATCATAAATTTGGGTTAAGAATCTAATGGTAATTTTTGTTCAATAAAAGTAAGAGATTTTGAATTTGAATTGTTTTTTTTTTTTGTATGACCATCCGGTATCCAGAAGCCCATTGGGCAACTGACTAATCCGGATTCGAGCCGTGTAGGACCCAATGGGCGGCAGAGCTCTCCCTCATGAGTTTTAACGGAACTGCATTTCCAGGACTTGAACTCAAGACCTCTGGTTAAGCTGGAAGAGTCCCAGCCAACTCATCCACCCGCTCATGGGTTTGAATTTGAATTGTATAACATGCATGTAGAGTGAATCTAATAATTAAGGTAAACGATTAAAAAATTAAGCTTAGACGTTAAAAACAATTTTAATTGTTCAACTCCTAGCTCAAAGCTTTTATGTCAAAATCATAAATTTGGATTAAAAATCTAAATAATTTAATGGTAATCTCTATTTAATAAAAGTATGAGATTTTAAACTTAAATTATATCACATATGTGTAGAGTGGACTAAGGTATAATTGATAATTGTTTTTAATCATGCAATTAAAAATAATATATATATATATATATATATAAATTTGGTGGTTATAACTTGACAAAAGAAAATTTTATACCTCTACTATTTTTTGTTGTTGCCTTTTCTCTGAAATTGTACCAATTAAATTAGTGAATTTTTCCCATGCTTTTTGCCCAAAAAAAAAAAGTGACTTTTCTGAAAAGAAATGCAACCGAAAAAAAAAAAAAAAAGGAAGAAAAAGAACTTTCTTTGCTTGAAAATTGTTGGATTCATAAGATGAAGAAGACATGTTGGTTTTTAGCCGGAAATTGTTCAGTGTGTATTTGGCCTCATGTGTAGAACGTTCTGAATTTCTTTGACAAAGGATCAGAAGACCGAAGACTCTTTTTGGAATTGAATTCTTAAGTCTTCATACATATATCATACGTTGAATTTAAATTCTTTTAATTTAAAATAAATTTTGTTACATAATTTAAAATGTGGTTATTGTTTGTTTGTCTTACTGTAAAAAAATTAAGAGAAAAAATGATAAAAATCACCTTAATGCATTTTTTAAAATAGATTAGTTTAGTTTTTTTTAATAAAAATTTATTGAAACGACGTAATTTTGAGATGATTTTTTTTCTTAGTTTTTAAAAAATAAAGTTGATAGGTATTATTTTCATTTAAAATCATATTAAAAAATAAAAAATAAAATAAAATAAAAACAACGGAACTATTAGTCTATTATAGGGTAAGTAACGAGCAACTGTTCCGAAAGCAAAAAATAAAATTAAAAAAAAAAAGAAAAAAGAAAAAAGGGGGAACTATTCTAGGGTAGGTAACGAGCGACTGTTCCGAAAGCAAAATGCCAAACAAGCCGTAACTTAGAAGTGTATTTGCCTCGTGGCATTTTTGCATGATCTTTGGTTTGACCTGTAATACAATTCAGTTCTCAATTGATTTTCTGAGCAATGGGAGGAACATTTTGTTTTTTTATTCTACATTCAATTCTTCCAATACTTTCTAGAGCCATTTGGGATTGAGATTCTTGTTTTGTAGTTATTTTAAATGGTAAAATAAAAATTATTAAGTAAAAATAATTCTTAATATTAAGGAATGCAATCTTCATTTAATAGTAATTTTTTTAATAAAATTAAGAAATTTTAAATTTAAATTATACAACATATAAATTAGATAAATTAAAAGATGTTTTTTTATTATGTAATTTAAAATTATATATATGTATAAAAAAAAAATTTTCCTAGGGTGGGTAACGAGCGACTGTTCCAAAAGCAAAATGCCAAACAAGCCATAACTTAGTAGTGTATTTGCCTCGTGCCATTTTCGTATGATCTTTGGTTTGACCTGGAATACAATTCAATTCTCAATTGATTTTCCGAGCAGTGGTAGGAACATTTTGTTTTGTATTCTACATTCAATTCTTCTTTCTAGAGCCATTTGGGATTGAGATATATATATGTTTTGCACTACTCTAAACTCTAAAATAAAAATGATTAAATGGGGATAATCTTTAATATTAAAGTATATGATCACTATTTAATAATTTAATATATACAATTGGATATAGTTGTATTACACGATATATTTTTTATTTAGGATTAATTATTTCAAAAATGTATTTTTCTAGTCATAATTTATGAATTTATT